TACGAAAAAGAAAATAGTGGTGCTATAGAATGGAACACTTTTGTATCCTATCTCCTCAGTCTAGGCTTTTTTTGTTTCTCCCCTCCCTCTTCTCCGCTGCTATTGGCATTAAAAGATGTGTAAAAAATATTCTCAATTTTTCGGAGCTCTAATTTGTACATTAGCAATATAAAAGGGTAAAATTTGGTCCTTTATGGACACTTTCATTGACAAATTTGAAGAGGTTTTCAAGAAAATGTCATTTGGGCTGCGTCTGAAAATGCGCATTTTGAAGTTTATTTTCACCCAAAACATTTCAGTTTTCGAGAAATTTCATTACTTATTGAAAGAATTTCTACTTGCATATTTAATAATGTAGGTATACAAATGGCCGTTATTGTAAATATTAACGAAAAAAAAAACTTATTTTTTGGAAAAAGAACAAAATATTACTTTACGGAGAAGTTTATATCATGTTATTCAGTGCCTTTAACATTTTACATACAAAAGAGTTTGAAGAAAAAATTGGGAACCGCTCACTAGAAAGTGGCGTTTGAACGTGCCTAAATATGCAGAATTCCGAGCTCATTTTCAAAGAAAAACCTTTGAGAAACTTAAGTACATAATTTGAAGCATTTGCAAGTGCAATAATGTATTATAATGCCAATATCGTAAATATTAACGTGAGAAATATTAAAAAATTAAATTTTTTGAAAACAAAATAAGGGCGAAATGACGTTTATGTGGTCTTACCATTTAGCACTAACCCTACAATAAGTTTACAGACAATTAATTGCAGACGTTTTTGAGAAAATCTTGTGTTTAATACCTTTTAATATCGCCGATATTTCACTCAAATTTACACAAAAACACCTAATTTTGTTTCTAAAAAGTACGTAACAATAATGAAAGAATTTTATTTTTCCATTGGTGGAAAGCGTAGTGCAAAAATTCTTACCCTGAGGACATTAAATGAAACAGATGGTGCCGAGACCTTAAAAATTGAAAATATTGTAAGCAAAATTTACTAGGTCAAGGCCTAAGCCCCAAGTCATTTGTAAGAATTGATTCATAAAAGCAGTAAATGTTTTTCACTAGAAAGCAGCATTTAAAAGAGAAATTATTTGAGATAGATATATCTGATTAATGTTATTGAACATTAATATTACATTGAGAGAGTTAAGATTTTGACTCAAAATAGTTTTAATAATCTAATAAAATTAAATGCTTTAATATATAAAAACTAAGTACTGTATAATTCAACTATATTTATAATTATTTCCAAGACAAAAGTGATGATGATAATTCTACTAAATTTGATACTCTTTCATTCAATTCCTACTGTGTTGATGGAAACTGGTTAGTCCTGAGAACTTGTTTTTAGACTTCAATTTATTGAAGAAAGGTCATTTCAGGTCAATTTTATGAAGAAAGGTCATTTCAGCGCTGGAATGGAATGGTAGGAAACAATTATGAATGCAAAAGGAGTCTTCATCAAAAGGTTTCAACTTGAAAAATACATCCAGTATCTGTAATAAAAGTGTTTATAGCAACAAAATATAGTAAATTCACAAACATACCATAATAAAAGACCTCTAGGTATAGAGCTATTGTGCCACATAATGTTTTCCTTTTAAAAACATGCCTTCAACAACTTAATAATAGAAACACTGCACCATTGAACTACCACTCTTTTCTCTGCACAAGGCCAAGCACTGACCACTGGCAGGGCTGCAGTCACACACTCCATCCACACAACACGGCAGAGGAGTAATGTCTAACATTCAAACATCAGAATCACAGACTGTGGGAGGCCCCCGCACATAGCAACATCTTTGGTAGCGTTTGATATAATGATACAACCACTTCGCAATGCACGGTTGGTTTACAATGGCTGGTTGTGAATAATTGCACTGTCTGTAGTGTACACTTCCAGCAACAACTTAAACATATGCACACAAACAATTTTACTCAATTTCATAATGACAGAATCTGTCATGCCAAGTTCCAATTAAAATAAATCATTTTCACCAAGTTTTAACCTATCAATTTAATCTACAGACAAGGTTTAAAAGGTGTAATTCGAAAAATAGTAACACCCAAAAACCAAAGAACACAAAAGTCCATGACAAGTCATAATATATAATTCAGAAAATAAAAATTATTGTCTCATAACCCTTTATATAACTTTCATTCACAACTTATTTAGAACTTATATATTTGAAAGAGAACGATGACAAATATGTTTGGCAATGAGAAACAACACTATTAATTAGCCCTTTGTCATAAATTTGCAACTTGGTATAACAGTATAGAATACTTCATTTACATACCATTATTCAGCACGGGATACAAATATCCCTCATGTAATGTTACATATAATAAACTGGCATTTAGCTTCAAAGATATAAAACGGATACGGGAAAGGTCAGAACCCACAACCAGGAAATGCAGAAAACACACAACCACTCACATATTCATGTTCAAACCTCAAAACGGCTGGAACGCTAAAGCAGCTTACAAAAACACTAATAATGGACCCAACAAGATAATATCATATTAAGCTCACCATATAGCCATGTAAGACTCTGGCAACGAAATATAAAACTAACATTTACTGTGTTTTCACCCACTACATTTTTGACTTTAACAGGAAGTATCTATGAGCACAAAAGACTGAAACAGGCCAAGTTGGAAATTGTAACAAAACATACAACCCATTAGGGCTTAGAATGAAAATATACAAAAAAATCAGAACCAAGGGCAATTACAAAAAAATATAAAATAAGACATACATAATGAACAATCTCTCAAAGACTATAAACAATAACAAGATACATTGACAAGAAAATTAAAAACATTTAGCAGTACCATTTATATTGTCAATGTCATTTTCATTTTGATGCATGTCCATTTTGACAAAGATCATTCTTCATGTAATATGTTATATAAGAACAAAACAACATGCTTGAATATCGGAAACTTTCAGACTTTGATAAAGTGATTACTAATAAAGATATCAATTAGTATCTACTCAGGGGCAAAAGGATATTATACATTACTTGCTAAATAAAAAACACAGGAAATAATTGTATTTCAATGAAATGCAAACTCTTGCTTATTTGCCAGTAATAATAATTTTCATATAAATCAGTTTTCAAAAATGTGTTCTCAGTGTATCGTAAAATATAAAAGCAAAATACAGTCAACAAACTAATATTTTGACTTGGACCAATTATTCTTTAAAAAAGCTGAATAGACAAATATTCTGTAGAGTAAAACAATCCTTTCCAGTCAAAAACTTTAATGTCATTTCGATGATATTGCCTGTGATTTTAAAAAATTCCAATAAGCAATACATACTGATTAATAAAAGTAAAAAATAGTCCAATCTTCCATTTAAACTCACCGGTCCACGTTCAAAAATTAGTAAAAATAATGTTTATCATACTACAATATCGTTGGCACATGAACAAGAGTTTACAATGTAGGCCCTGCAAATAATGTCCCCAAGTACACAACACATGCCAATGACAAAAGGCTCTGAGGTCATGAAATGCCAACACCCACCAACTCGCATCCATTATCCACTCCCATCTACAAATTCATAGCCCACACTTTCAGTTTTGCATACGGATACATTCCTTGTTTACAAAAATTGAGGTAGGATTTTCCTTTAAATCTTTTGTGAAAAACAATGAATCTCTCACAAATGCAACTAACAGCATACAAAGCAAACTTGGATGTATTCAGAAACTGAAAGCAGATGAAGTAATTACTTTTTTCTCCAAAATTAGCAACAAAATGAAAAGAAAAGAAATGAAGAGCAAAGAAAAAAAGAAAATTTACCTAATTTTCATTCCAGCCCGCAATTATGTTCATAGGAGTACGCAGCTTTTACCTAAGAGAAAATTATCTAAGGAGCCAAAGGCACGCAAACACACAAGCATTAGAGGGAAGCTCAAGCAGGGGGTTAAGCACTGAAGCACAAGGAACTAAAGGGCTATGGAATGTAATCACTTAATTTTTTTCATCGTTATTCACCATATCTCTAAAATTTAATTACATGGAAAAATGTTAAAATAAGTAAAATCTGGAAAAAATGAAAAGTAAATTAATTTACAATAATTATTATAATAAATAAATTACAACCACAGGAATGAAAATGAACACGAAAAAAGCTTTAAAAAATGTGCTTCACACACTTTTGAAAGGTGCCAATTTAAGCTATTCCAATCAAATCACAAAAAATAGATATAGATACTGTTCGATATGTGAATAAAAATATTTGAAACACATTCCTATGTCTTATCCTAGACATTATATGCTACAGTCTATAACTCTGACAAGAGTGACTACATTCTTAAAAGTTGACACTGGATGTTATAAAAAATAAAAAAGTGTAAAAGCTCCCAAGACTAGCAAAGTGAGAGGATGAGTAGAGCTATGTCTTCTTCCCCAGACCAATCAAGCCCAAACACACATGAACCACGTGTCAAGAGTCTAAAGATTATGGGAATTGTATTTCATAGCATGCCTTCTTCTAGCACATTGCAACCTATTTATAAAGTAAAGAGAACTACAAAGAAAAGTAAAAAGAACTATCAATTAAGCTTTGCTAAAAACTCAATACTATCAAGATACATGCAAGATAAATGCAGCTTAATAAACTATGAACATTGACAAGATAAATTTGTTAAAGTATCAGTACAGGCAATTCCTCAAACATCCATTATAGCAGAACGGAGCAGCCTGAATAGGAACAAATAGATCGAGTGAAAGAGAGAGCAGGAGATGAGAGCAAAAACATAATAAAACATGCTGACAAGAGGAATAATGAACTGGGAGAACTAAAAACTTAGTCTCACACAGCTGCATTTTGCACAACATTCTATATATATATTTATATGTATGTATATATTAACATAGCCATTTGTGAAACAATTCCATATTAACAAGCCCCCTTCCCCTTGCAAAAAGGACACAGAAGCTCTCTACCAATAGCCACCCTTGTAATCACATGCCACAGAAATACCAAGTGATCCTCAAATAACTGTACATGGTATTTCTAAAAGAAATAGAACTTATTTACAACACATTCACAAACTATACAGGATATATTTACAAATACATGTCAAATAGTGGATACTTCATACAAAAGGACTCTTTAATATGCATTTTGTGAAAACCACAATACATTTTGACCAACATTCTGACCTTTCATTGTTGGTATTCACCTGTTACCGCTATGAATGACAATCACCTACATCTCGTATTACACTGGCCTGTTAAGCTATAAGCTCAAAGACAAAGATTCACATCGTTCATTTTGTTCGAAACAAAAGTAACAAACTAAAAACACCCTTTCTCAAAGTCTAATAATTCATTAAAAATCATTAACAGTTAGCTTTAATATTTGCAATTTAATCCACATTCTTTATCAATGATACATTTCAAACCAGAACAAATATAACATGAAAACTATTTATTGCAGCAAAACCCACCAAATGTTTCACACTTTCTGCTTGAAACATTAACTTAACACACTTACACAAAAGATGTACCTAGAAAGGAAGTTCAGAGGATATTACTTTGTTCCACAAGTTGCTTAATTTTTACAGATATTTTTCCTAAAGGCAATGATAACAAATGCTAAAATCATTAACTACAAATTTTATATTATGATGCAGATATTAATGATGTGTTCACTTTGTAAATGGATGCATAATTAAATATTATCCCATTAATTTGAATGAACAAGTATTCAAATAACAAAACTATATTTGTAGAATATCATCAACCAAAATGAACTATGTAAAATGCTCACAATGCACAGAGCAGGTCTGCATAACTCCCAGAGCAGAGCATAACTGCATAACAAGCTTTTCCTAAAGCACAAAACCAACAAGATGTGCATAAAATTTGATAAGAAAGAAAATAAACATCCCATAAATATTTATATTTTTTATTGATTTAATTTCATCAATTATTTAATGCCGTCTGCAAAAATATTTTGATAAAATGAGATTAATGAAACAATTAATGATATCAAAACTGGAAAGAATAATATGTCTGCTAATTGTTCAATTTGCTTTAAAATATATAGGCACTACGCAAAACTTAAGAATACAATTGGAAAATTACTTTCAAAACAAATCGTCAAACATCTTGATCCTTAAGATCTATATAGAAAATCATATAATAAAGTAAGAAAAACACGGTAAAACTTCCTCTTATTGACTGAGCTGTGTGTTAAGCAGATGTGCACTAATGCATTTGTAGAGCTCTTTTCTAATCTCCCAACTCTCTTTTAAATGCAGAATTAAAGCCAACTGCACACAAACTGATCAGTTTGCACGTTAAAAACGATAATATGAAGGCCAGTGTGGGGCTCTTAAAATTCTCATGGAAAAATTCACCTTCAAAATTATACCAAATGCTCAATTGCAAGCATCAGTATTTAAAGAACTCTTCATTACAAGAAGAATTCTGCCCCTAAAACTTTAATAAAGAGCCCCTCGTCAATGAATATCTATCTTTCCAACTATGGATCTTCTCAACTTTATAACATAGTTGTGGAATGTTTCACGACCAGTTCACAGGCATCCAGTGTTTCCTACAGATAGGTGATTGAGCTTATTTCTGTATCAGTGGTCTCAAACATTTGTGCCCAAAATGTCTTGAAAAGTAGGACTTGAAAGAGTTCCTTTGTGGTTACGTCCCTTGAAATGAGGCTTACCTTCAAATGTTCATGTCAAGAAAACAAGTGCGCTTCATTATCACGAGAAACTGTTCCTTTTTGTACAGAGAACAGATCAATATTAATTATTAATTTATTGTACTTTCTTTAGTGCATTTATTAACAAAATGGTAGGAAGCGACATAATTCAATTGAATCCAAACTTCTGACATCATTAAAGTAGATTTAAGGAAGTATTTAATGTAAATTATTGCAATCTTGACATGAGATTCTTATGTAACATTAATTAAATGTTTGGGACATTGAGCTTTAATGATTCTTGTACCATTAACACTAGAACATTATATACTGAGAGATTTATTAATATTTAATTAAGGTATTTTAGTTTGTATCAACCCTTTGATGTTTGTAATTTCTTAACTTTTGAAAGTTCAAGCAAAGAACAGAACACCCTACAACTGTTTGCTATTTTTCACCACTCTTACAATCTGTGGGGAATAATATGCTCCCTCCCTTCAAGCCAACCATTCTTTGGAATTTTAATCAATTTATTGAAAATAATTCAACAACATAAATATTCAAACCAAATGACTTCTCTACATTAAAAAATCCTTGTTATGAATATAGTCAAGACCCGTATTTCAACCTAACAATTTTTTAAAATTTTAAAATAGGTACGAACTGAAATGAACTGTGCTGAAATTGGCCTGCCCATTAAATACTTTTTAGATCAATGCCTGCAGGATCTCTGGAACTAAGTAATTCATTTCCATTTTTGAGTCCCTCAACCACAAAGTATTAACTTTCTCAAAAATCTCTCACTCTCTGTCCTGTGACACTCAACTGCAAGCCCATAGCACACCTGCTGGAAAACTGACAAGACAAAATGAGCATTTTTGTAGGTGAATTTTCAGATTTTGAGCTAATAGGAAATATTACTTTAAGTAAGTCAAAGAAAATAACATATGACAAACTTCTAACATGCTTTGGTAACATAACTTAAATACAAAGACTTATGATTGTTTAAATTTTCAAAATTAATGATGTAAAAGGAAACCTACCTCAATACAATTGCTATTTTAACAATTTGAATAGTGAGATATTTCCGGACACAGACTTCATTACAGGCATTTGTAAACAACAAAGACTGAAAAATTCACATTTTTGACTTGAAGCAGTCTTCTACTGGGTGATGTAGCGTATTACAATTTTACATCTTTTGACTGTAGAGAATGAAAGTTCTAGAAGTTCTAGTGCTAATCAGTTTGAGACCACTGAGCAACAACGAGACCTGTCAACTGCTTAGCTTTTGCACTTTGAGCCCTCAGCACACTGCTAGATGCAAAAAATATATATTGTATACATATGTACATTGTAGGAGAGTGGCTCGATAGCATTGTGGACTCAAATCATCTGAGACGCAAAACAGCAACGAGACAAATGCGTTGCATTCATTTTGTTCATAATTAGTGGAAGACCCCCAGTCCATGATTATCGCTACAAAAATCTTGTCATTGAACACTGAAGGGCAGGGCTACCATGAATATTCCTCGCTACAACCTCAAAAAGCAGCAAAAATTGAGCGGCTGGATGCAGAACCTCACATAAGACAATAAGTGGATTTATACGAAATATGATAAAGCTTAGGTTCTTTTTGCGACATAGCAAACTGAACAAGAAAAAGAGAGAAGTATTATTATGGACAAAATGAGCCACATTGTTAATACATTCCCCATAATTGTCTGCCAGCTGCTTACTAAAATAAATTTTAAAACCTTTACTCTTCTGAATTGATAAGTCAGATAGTAGTTTCAAATTAGCAACACATTAAGGCAGAAAATAGCATAATAGATGTTTCATCGTTAATTTTAAATAATATAATTCAGACCAAGCAATTGTTTTGAATACAAAACCTTTGAAGGCTTTATTCATAGTAGAAAATGTATATATACATTTCGAAGATAGGTTCTGAATTTTAATTAGTAAATACAAAATCTCATAATACAATCATCAACTCTTTCCAAGATTATTTTATGAATAATCCTTTCTTACTTGTTTGGAAAATGTGGTATACAGCTAAAAAAGAAGGTAATATAGTTACATTTAGTTCGAGAGGATATTGTTAGTTTCACAATTCTGCCTAACATTTCCCCACAATCCATACTGTCAGTCAACGTCACATGAAGTTTTTAATTACAAAGTATTTTTAATACATTTTGTTCAGTTCACAAAGTGATTGGTTTATTTGAAAATAAAATTATATTCATCTTCAAATCCATCAATTACCTTCACGTTCTGACCAAAATATAATCATTTACTGAACCTTTCAGTCTTTACCATTTAAAATCAACAGTGAACATCCTATATGCCGTTAAGACAATTCAATATGCAATTTTGAGAATTAGAAATTAATTGTGCATGATATTGGCAAAATTTCAAATTGCTCAGTGTAAATAATATTTGGTAATTTAGTTATGACTTTTTAAGAGAACCATCTCAAAAATATGATATACAGAACAATTATCTATTTATTATCAACTTGCAATTTGATAATACTTATAAATTGTTCAATTCTCCATTCAATGAATTAGTTGAATCAAGATATTGTGCATTTAGTGAATCTAAGACATTGTCAAACATGAGATTATTACAGAAATTCTAATACTTTATGGCATTGCTTCATCCTATCGTTTCTATTCAAAATGAGGTTTCTGCACCAAGTCATAGAATATTTTCAAAAAGTTCAGACTGCAAAATGAAAAAAAAAAAAAAAAAATAATAATAATAATAAAAAAAAAATAAAATCACACCCAAACAATTGTGTATCCTTTCTTCTTCAAGATTTGTAATATCAAGTAACTAAGGTCAGTTCATACTAACCCTGCAATAGTAAATCAGGCCACAAGACAAATTTGAAATAAGTAAACAATGCAGAGGCAGAAAGATCAAACAGCAAGATAGCTAATGACAAGGCCAGGATAACAGACTTCTGACTGTGCTCTGGGAACTGAGTCACACAGCTTGGAAGTCCTGCACGGTATAACTAGCATTCAGCAAACAACAAAAATTTTATGGAATGTAACATTTGCACAGAAGCTGCACCATTGCATCTGGACTGCATAACATTTGAGTTCATAAAAAAAAATCAATGATACAAATTTAAAAAACAAATGTACATTTCATTCAATAGGTTAACAATATCTTATGACGTGGAAAAACTTTACAAAATCCCTATAATTTATCGTTGGGATGAAAAGTATTCAGGTACCAAGGAATTATCTTCTCTCATTCGTTTACAAGTCTGTGACGAACTTAAACAAGTCTCTGCAGTTATACAGCCATTCAAAACTTGCTTGAATATAAGTTTTGCAATTTCACATTTAGAGATGGGGCTATTTCTCTTTATTTACAGGCCTGTACTTGGCATTTATAAACAAGTCTGGCTTACCCCTTTTTCAACTTCAAGGAATTGCAGTAAGAAAGATAATACTCCCAGCCTAACAGCACTTGTTTGGCAGAATGGATGGCTACTCTGGGTGACTTGACATCCAATTAGGAAGGATTTCCAATGCTTCATCTCCAAGTGGACCAGAATATTAGGAAAATGTTTACACTAAGAGGGGCTCTTTCATCGATTTCACTGCACTTCAGTGCTCTAGAATGATTACATGCCTAAAAACAAAGCCATATATTCTGAAAAGCAATGAAGTCTTACTCGTGTTAACTGGAAGATAATGGTCGATTTACAAACAACCCGTTCCTACAAACTAACCCCACCAAAAGCAATATTACACACAGTTAAAACAAGAAAAATGAAAGGAAAAGGTAATATTTTTTTAAAAAGTTGTAAGTAAAATGTAATTTCCGTGATTATAACACACAGGGGAATGTAACAAGACTGCATAAATAATCCACCACCCTTATTATCTGATTCAATACTCAGGTCTGTATAATGCAAGTGTAGAAAACATTTAAATGTTCCTTTATTTTTTTATTGATTTGTTCAAACTTTTTTTTGCAAACATGTGGAAGGATCCTATTTTCATTTATGTATTTTATATATATATAGAGCGAGATATATATAATATACATATTTATATATATAATGTTACCTGTTCATTGTTCTTTCTTTACTATACAGTTGTACATCGCATAAAGCCGGTTTTTTCCCAGTATGTACACAAGTTATGTTGTAATTCACAAAATAAAGTATACTGGTTTTTCTTGTGCCATGGCAGTGAAAAGGCTTAGAGAATCCTTTCCCAGCTACCAAGTTTGTGCAGCCAATGACTCGAATCATCTTATAGCTGCAAAGTTGTCTCAAACCCTCACCATAATGTGTGCCGAGTCTTTGTTGGAGCCGTTTCATGCAGAATCCTGCACTACTACTCCACACGCAAGGCTGCTGCAGGCAGGCCTGCAGAGCCACCGGGCCAGGGCATCTCGTGCCCCTTCCGGTCGCAGCACACAGCACCTCCAGAGGCACGTACCCCAGGTACACCTCAAAAGCAACGAGCCGCATCGGTGGAGCAAACGAAAAATTCAATGTGGCGCATCCACAAGCAGACGGTGGGAGCGTCCAACCGCCCGGCCTTATTAGCTACTGGTCGACGCCATAGGCGACACCGGGCTGAGAGGTGAGCGGCTCGAGTCGCGCAGGCATCCATTGAGCGTGACTACCAGCTTGCGCGAGCCAGCCTGGTCGCGGTGCTCGCACAACCAGATTCCCTGCCACGTGCCCAGATTCAGCTTCCCGTCAGTGATGGGGATGGTGAGAGAAGAGCCCAGGAAGCATGCCTTCACGTGCGCTGGCTGCAAGGAAGAAGACGGGAAAAAAGCAAACGTTATATTAACCTCAAGTACATTCATTGAAGGACTCAACAATTATGGATTGCATTTAACTGAATATTAAAAAATATTTGAAGGCAACGCTTTTTGAATTGCAACCATGCTGTCTTTCATCGTTAGACCCTCAAGTCTTCGTTACAAATTCAGGAGTAATCGCCCCATATGTTTTAAAGCCGCACATACAAACACATGCACTCACTTTTATGTAATAGGAGCATGAAGATTAGCGGGGGGGGGGAGGAGGAATCAAAACCATAACTTTGGAACTTTAATATAAATATATATGACTTGACACATTAGGAAAAAGGAGTGTAGAATTGTGAAAATTTCTTTAATATGCCACCTATAATACATTAAAAAAATACTCTCAGAACAACTTTTCTGAAGCATTCAGATTATGTTTTCAGTACATATTGTGGGTGTGAGTGAAAGACATACATCAAGGAGAGCTCTATCTCATTTCTTTTTGTATTTTTTATTTCATTTTAATGCTAAATATATAATATTTTTTTATATACTTCGTCCAATGATTAAGAAAAACAGACATAAATGTTTAAAGAATCTTTTTTATTTAAAACTTGCATAATAGAATTTTATAACATTTAATAATAAGATTACACATCTAGATAGAAGTGCTTGATTTATCCCGAGGCAATGTTTGACGACCGAGGGCTGCAATTACACTGAAGAAAAATGGCCTTCTCTCCGAATTGAATATTCTATTTTTTTCCGCAGCCATAATAATTTAACAAGATTAAAATCTTAAGTGACTTTCTCCTATTAGCTCTACGAGTGCTGACTCTTAGCAAGAGTAACTACGAGGTGGACCCTTAGTTACCAACTTGTTTGGAGCGTTCTGTTTTTTTGTGCAAGAAAAGCATTTTATATTAGTATAGGCTGATTCGAATTTAAATCCGAACTAAAGGAAATCTCAAGAACCAAGTTCCAATAACAGATGTCACAAAGGAACTAAGGAAGATTTGGTTCCAAAAAAATCGGAACTATACGAAGTTTCTTATGTTTCCAGTTTGAAGATTGGTTCCAAAGAAAAGCCATGAAGATGTTCAACAAGTACAATAGAAGTTACTAATAACACAATATTTTGAACATTAGTTTTACAAACAGTCGGGAGTGAGAATGTAATTGTAATATTAGTAATTAACATGTGTTCATTTGTATTTTTGTTAATATTTCAAGTTCATCATGTTTATCACGTAAACTTCTTAGGAGCAGAAGAAATATTATTTACAAACTGTCGGCGACGCCACATTCAATATATATATATATATATATACATATATATATATATATATATAATATAAATATAATATAATATATATATATATATATATATACCTAATCTACTCACTACAACATACCCCTACCTACTACTCACCACCTCACTCATCCTACTACCCCCTATCCTCTCCGCAATCTTCGCACGCCCCCCCCCGTGCGCGTCTCCACATCATTCCGCAGCACGTTTAACGGTACAGAACAAAAATATCCTCAAAAACGAAAATTCTTACGGAGTGGAAATTGTGACGATTAACTTTTTCCTTTAGAGTAACCAAACAGCGTACGGTAAACAGTGGCGTCTGAGCGATACAGCGACTTGGGATTTCATCGCTTCATTGGCGTCGGCTTGGAGACGGGGCACGTAGTTCGCGGGACCACTGCTAGATCGCAGCGATAGAAAAACGCATAAACGTTTTGTGGAATTCCTTAGAATCCTCTGAATGGATCCCATGACAAATCTTGCGTTCTCCACCAGGAGACCGAGACGCGTCGAATGACATCTCATTTGCCTCGATTTGGTGGACAGGAAGAGGGGGAGGGGGCGAACCGTGATGGATGATCAAACGTGAGTTACTCAAATCCTTTATAAAGCAGGGATGTCCAACTCACGGCCCGCGGTGCCATTTTTTACGACCCGCGAAAGGTTCCTAGACAAACATGAAACTCCCTTGCATCCATGTCGGGCAAAAACATTGCGCCTAGTGCAAGCGCCCTGTCGGGATCAACATCCCCTTTAAGGACTAGTAGGTTAAGTTTAGATTTAACGAATTGTTTTCTAGAACATTCAGAAATTCAAAATCATTCCATTGGGTTTCACTGCGATATGCATGGTACTGAGCGAGTTTTATAAGGACCGTTTTGACAGCTACTGTTGGCAACATGTCCGACGAAAAATCTAGTTCGCAACGAGAAATAATTGGAATTAGGAAGTGCAGTGTTACTGTGCTCTTCTGTGAAAATTCCTGTTCTATAAACATTACCTTGAATTTACTTATAGTGCGATAAGTATTATGTTTAACAGGTGCGAATCTATGGGAAGGGAAACGAGGGAAATTTTTCAAAAATTACACAAATGTATGTTCATGTAGTGTTATAACACTACTTCTCCATTACAAATAATTCAGGAGAGTGCATGTCACTGTATCATTAGTTAATGTTCCTTTTATTTATCTTATTATTTTGCAATTTGAATTCATTATGTAGTAGTCATAAACAAAGTAATACAGTTTCAAAGAATTTTATGGAAATTATTTTACTCATATAAGCAGATAGGCAAATTTCAATTTTAGATGATTCATAGTTCAAGATCAACATTTTTTAATACTAACAAAGATCAAACTAAGGATGCATAAAAGGGACTTGGCACTCTCTTGAAATTATCTTATCTCTTGAATATTACTTTGAGAAACTAGCATTGAAAGTGACTACTACAATCCCCGAGTGAAAAAACGGTTATGGGAATATTCAGTGAAAGTAGGGATGAATCACATTCGTTCCAGTTTGCACATGGGATGTTCTACAATAGGGGAGCAAAATAACGATTTTCGCCCAAGGAAATTAGAACATAGTGTAAAAACAAACTTGCTCTTTAATAACATATGACCCATTTGCGTTGTCAACTAAAAATACAAAAGCATTTTAAAGAAAGTAATAGTAAACGCAAAATAATGAAAAGTGATCAGGATACTTTGAACGCTAATAACAAAACTAAAGAAATATGGAATATCATACAAAATCCAATACAATCACAATTTTGATACGTTGCAGATAATTGTTGTTTTAAAGGGTACTGACATAATAAAGTAATAGGTGAGACCCTGCATTGAATTAAGTTCATTACGTTACGCATTCAGAAATCTTTCAGACTGTCAGCCTCCACGCAGGTCATTTCATGCATTTTGCAAACATACTTTCCCGGCGGAGATATGGCATAATATTCTGGGGAAATTCATCCTATAGTAACCAGACTGCAGAAAAAATCTCTTAATTGGAACTTTAATCTTGCGATTGCCTTACCTTTTTATTTACTAATCTGTGATTTTTGTCAAAACTGACTTCTTTAACAGGGGAACATCTTTTCATACAATATTGATATTTACAAATATAATACTTGTAGAAATTACACGGTGTCAGTATCAACAGCACAATACAAGAAATCCAAATATAATATGACATTAAACAATTAAAACTTAAACTAAAATTTAAGTTTAAAATAAAATATTTTCTGATGCATAGCTGTTTCCAAACAATAGAGATTACATTGACCGTCGAAAAACAAAATAATATTTTAATAATGATTCATAATGCATTAGTTTACATTTGCATTATAAAATATTAAAAAATACATAATATACCTGCAACAAGTAATGCACTTCAGCTTCTGGGTCAATGACCCTTCACCATCAGTTTTTCCATCCAGCTCTCCTGATCAACTGACCAAATGCTGAGTTGTCCCCTTGTTTCCTTCTGGACGTAAATGTAGCTTCACTAAGCACACGTTTTGTTGAGCTCAACTTTTGGTAGTTGTGGAGGGAGTAGAGCTGGGGGTAAGGGTTACTATTTTATTAGAAACACTAACTACTCTCATCTGTAGATCATTTAACGAAGGAACAAAAACTTCTATTTTCAAATGTTACCAACATTGCTTTCTTGGTTCTTTTATTAATCATTCAACTATTTAAGGTTGACCACAAGGAAGAGATACCAGAGCTCAAGAAAACGTGTACAGATTTCACTTCTCCCCATGAGCCATGTTCAATTTTTACCGATCACCGACAAAATCGAACAAAGCAACTCAAAATTGTATGAGCATATCGGAAAATATCAATTCACAAGTACATATGTTGTTGCAGCATCAGCCCAATCGATCGAGGATTTTAATTTTTGTAAAAGAACCTAACTATGTTTTACCAGACAAATTTTCCTGCAAAGTGACAGGTTTCGATATCAAGGGCACACCAAATGTGGATTCTGACTACACTACATGTTAAGAGTAAGCAATATACTACATACAGGAACAAGATTTCATTCACTTTTTCTTCACAAAGGACATGCAATACAAGCTTTTCTGTCGGAAACTGCCTTTTTTCCTGCAGGATTACAATACTTTCTCTACACTACAATGTGAAACTGAAGTATTAACAAACTTCTAATTCGAATTCAGCACCCCAAAAAGCATGAACTGCCGAGAGAAGAGAATACCTGTAAATTTTTCCCGGGCCAAATACCATTTGAATAGATTATTGGACAACAGTCAGTAAATATGAAATTAATATCACAGCCACCACATTTAATAAATATCCAAATTAGCATTACCTTTATAGTGGACATTACATACCCATAAACACATGTCAACAAAGACCGCAAAGAGAAAAATTATACATGCAAAATGAAGCAGATTGCTTAACACTCCTCAGAGGGGTAAAGTATTACCCATCAAGACTATCTTTATGTTATATTAAACGGTCAATTGAAAGATGTAAGAAATGGATACAACATAAAAAGGTCTGGAAAAACTGAAAAGAAAAAAAGGGAAAAAGAGCAAAGAAACTAAAGGAAGGCTTAAAACAGACTTACCATATCATCTGGTCCTTCACAGGAATGTCTATAAGGCAGTCCCTGAAACACAAAAGTATTATTGCACGGAATAGTTTCAAAAACAAACAGGACATTTTCATTTTTAATATAAATACAATAGCTTCTTGCTTCAACTCTTTATTTTGCTTGAAGGAACTGCAACTTATTTGAAGAATATGAGTTTCATATCCCTCCTTTTTTTAATGAAGCAAAGATCTTAAGTAAAAGAAGTGTGTATTACTCTTCTAATATACATAGTTTGCTTTCGTCAAAGACATTTCTAAAACCTAGATGAAATAAATTATACTACACAAATTTTAAGAGTGAATACAACATCAAAACTGAATAAAAGCGTGCTGTAGCAATTACTTCAAAAAACATGCACTGAAATTACCAGCCTATACTACTTGCTGTGTACCAAATTTCTGGAGCTAAAAGGGCTTTCCAATGACTTAATTCATGGTACAAGCATAGGTTATTTACCTTCGATGAGAAACCTGGTGACAAGGCAAAACAATTAAGAAAACAGGGTAACATGCACTCATTGGATATTATCAATACATAGAAAACTAGTCTTCAACTGTTGGTTGCAGGCATGATCAAATTCTTCTACAGATTCTTCACTAACAAATATAATAATCAGTCCCACAACCCAAAGAAAATATATTACAAGCCTGACTTTCATTAAACGTGGAAATGATGTTTCAGATTGTTGATACTGGTTAAATAGAAGCTGGCACACATGGGAACAATTTTACAAGAATTTTTAGAAAACTGTCTTCAAAATAGGGTAAGATTATCCACCCTGGCTCCAGACTTTTGGGACTTCTCATTTAAAACAGACAGGGTATTTGACACTGTGCTTTTGAGTTGCTCTTAGGATTCAAAGATAAATATTCAAATTTTGGGGCTGGCAAAATGCACAATTTCAATGAACTGCTGAGCAACAAAAATTAAGTACTTTCTTTCAAAATTTTGTTTTCCTAACACTACAAAAAATGTTTAACATAAAACTAGCATACTATGATTGAAAAGTCATTCACAAAAGCGTTGTCATTTAAAGTTTTTGTGCAAATACCAATGCACAAATTTTGAAAAATAACTTAAAAGAAAAAAAATATTGAACAAAATCCTATTGCATGTCAAACACCTGATCTGCATAGCACAATGTGCAGTCAGGACTAAATTAAGAAAGTACCCTTGTTTCACATTGGAGTTAAAGTCAAGAAGGTTTGTCAAAGTATCAGGAAGGGTGAGAAAAAACGGAAATCAGGAAGGGAAATGAAAACAGAGCAACGCACCGGAGAATCACACGCTAACAAAAAGAGCATGGAAGTACAATTGGAAGAATGCAGGAAAGTATCGAAATGATCAGGAAATATTTCTTCCCGATTGTAAATTGTAATTTAATCCCACAATTTTAATCAATTACAACTGTTTGTGTTATAAACAGTTCTAAACATAGGCATTATGTATTGTTCTTGTAACTTGAACTAATTGTACTGGCAGATTTAAATGTCTATGTAATTTAACATGAATAGCAAGAAGGAAATGTCTTGCACAAATTCCAACAGATATAAACCTACCACCATCTGTGTGCTACTTTATACTAATTGTATTTTGATCAGGATATTAAATTAGTGTTTGATCAGAATAAATGACAAAAATAAATATTTTTTAAGTATAAAATTGATATTAATTTCAATTTAAAAAAATGCCTGATCAAAATCATGAGTATTCAAAGGCAAACCTGTATGCAAGGAACTAGAATATGACAGACTTTTGACTAAGTGGAAAAACTGATGTCACAAACCTGCTGTAATGTGTAGCGTACCCTCAGTGGAAGTGTATCTCATTAGCCATTGAGAGTTCACTGTAAAAAGGAATGGGGGAGGGACCTGGGGTAGTGATTGGCCGGAGGGTCGGTTGCTTAGGAACAGAGGCGCACTCACCTCAGGCACTATTTTATTCAGCATCATTTCCATGTCATCCCTAGAATAAGAGAAACCAACACTAGCATTACATCACAGCAGACACACCAAGAGAGTAAAGATCTGTTTCCTACAAGTGACAATAATAGTTTGCCAATGGCTACTCGTAACATCACCACTAAGTAATGAAGAAGGTTATCGCATGGCAGGCAGCTGTTTTAAAATTATCAAACCACAAATTTTATCTCCTTCAAACTTTTATTGACATGAACGTGTAAAAAGGCTTCATATAGCACTTAAAACGTCATAATTTTAATATTTTTTTGCATCCATTAGCTAGAATATAAAATATTAAAACTGACATAAGAAATTATGAAGCATATTACAGGAACAAACAAGGATCCCGATTTGTTCACAATAATGAATTGTCATAAGTCAGAAATGCGCCATGTTTTACTTGAAATTCCCAGCAACCTGCCATTCAATCTACTAGCACCAACAGCTCAACTCACTAACTCCAAACAGGGCCAAGAAGGCCAACTTCATTAATCACACAAGAACCCACCTGGAGGTATTTGAAAAACTTACTTTGATTTATGCAATTTCACGAGTAACTTGCAACCTTCAATATCTATCAATTCATTAATTCTTCTACTATTTCCCCCCTAAATGTATAAAAGAAGCACGCAAGTTCCTTTTCAAGCACAATATTGAATCCCATGACATGAAATCTATCAAGGTAAGTTCTTTACTCCAAGTGAAAAGATTCTTTATGACAAAAAATATAAATAGATCAAATATAATGTAATTATGCACTATTCTAATGTCTTAGACTATAGAAGAATACGTCTTCCATGCACTGAGTCCATGCAGCACCACTATATTGCCACACTGGCAGACAGTCAGGACCTCTGAAATTAGAGACTAGTGTGTGATGTTATTGCAGCTAATTTCCATCCCCTGGTTGAGCAAAGCACTTATGTTGTCAACTTGGCAACAAATTAACAAAATTAATATAATGTTCTGCAACATCTGCAACTGTATTGTGCATTTTTTATTTCTTATTCCTATTATTATTATTATTATTATTATTATTATTATTATTATTATTCTTTTTGTTTTATATATTATGATCACAAATATGAGTATGATAATACTCCTACTTTAAATCTTCCTACTTCGTACAGTAATTTAATCAATTTTGACAAAACAAATAGTATTTTTTATTATTTGCAAGAATAAAACAGCCATAATATGTTTACTAAACATTTCTCTCTTCCCCACACCTTTTTAATGCTCATTAAATAGGCAACTGCTTCAGTCACTTTTTACATGAAATTCTCCAATTCAAATCAGCAGATTACATGGCGTTTCACAAGTATTGATCACCTGGCTTCCCAACATCATATGATGGGTTATATTATGGCAATGACTATATTATAGTTATAACGAGACTGTACATTTTGATAACATCTTTTTTAAGTAATGTCAACATTACAACAACCTTAACATTGTTATTGACCTCTATACAATTAAAACGCTACAAGTTTTTGTTTAGAATAAAATTTGAACTTTCTACTCAAGTACTTGTCATGATTTCTTCTTTAATTGTAAGGTTGTGGGTCCTACATATGTTATCACTCTTGCTCATTGACTGGTTTTGTAGTAAAAACACTAAATTTTAATTATACATTAAAATTAATAGAGAGAATGCTTATCAGACAACATTCGTTCATGACATCATTTTCAAGTTCAAGTCCAGTAACGCTTGACAAATTTCCCCTCAACAAAAAAATGTTCAGTGATTGTAATTATGTGATCCATCACATTTTTAAGTTATGTTGGACAGCAGGATATCCTATTACTGTCTACTACAACACACCCAAACAGATATTGGTAAATGTAAAACATTTCAATTTTATTTTCTGAACCATATTTAACTCTTCATTTACAATGAATAGTCATTGTATTGTTACAGAATTTATAAACTACCTTCAATTTCATTAGTTTAAAAGAAAAAGTAATGAAAGACATGAAAAAACATTTTGGTGGCATTTCAAATTTCCTTATAATGCATATTTAGTACTTTTCTGTTGAAACTTTTTTACAGCGCTTGCTTTTGTGTGATGTAATCACAGGGCTTCAGTTAGTATTTTACTTAAATATTTATACGTCATTTATTGTGTTATTCTCATTTTAAATTTCATCAGATAATGAAAATTCAGGTCCTGGTTAACAACATATAAAAATATTTCCGATACCTTTATATTTCCATGTGTGGAAGCTACATAAATTAAACACATTTTTACAACTCTTGCAAAAAAATTTCTACTTAGGCCTTTTTTACCTGTGATAATATCCAATCATACATAATGCAAATTACTACATTACAAATTTCTTTCTAATTATATTCAATGTCCTTACTTCAAAATACAAACAGTAAGCTTAAAAAAATTAAAAAAAAAAAAAGATTAACTGCTCTTCAAAATAAATGTCTTTTTTAATTTTTGGAATTTAATGAACTTTATAAAATCAAGTGTTTGAATGAATTGTTGTGCTCTGTACTTTTAATAAATCCATATTTATACAACAATGCAATTTCAAAATGGATACACGACAAATTAAAATAAAATCATGGTCCAAGTGAAAAAAGCTGCACACCTGCTCAACCAGAAGAGAGCACACTACATGAATTACACTGCTCTACTGACTCTGCTAGGCTAAAAACAGACTCAGTGAATGAGACACAACCCCTTCTCTACAGTTGAAGCTGTGGCTAACTGGAACGCAAGCTTGGGGTTCTACCCTCCTGTGTTTGAACACTGATGTCTCTCTTACTAGGCCACACCAACACAAACTAAGACATTCTGGGCCGCGTTACTAGTGCCACATGATACTGATGTCTAAATTTGGATTTCTTCATTGCATCAAATTGAGATATACTGGGAAAATTCTCAATACCCACGATCGCACTAACAAAAAAATATGATTATAACTGGCTTGAAGTAAATGCTTAATGAGAATCCCAAATTTCTCAGTGTCATAAAAAGAAACTAAAAACATGAAAATATAGAAGCTAATGCCATAATATGAAATGAATGCAACTCATTTACTTGGTTTCATAAATAGTACGCAAGAGTTAAAAGAGAAATAACCTTTACACAATTATTGCTAGGTCATTTGTACGATAGTTCTATAAAAAAAATTTAAAAAATACGCATCTTAACAAAAGAATGAAGAAAGAACAAATTTATACTAAACTATAAAGTGATTTCCCACTACATATCAAATAAACAACAAATATAATACACTAATGTGAATTGCGCACAACAGCAAAAGAAACAAAATCTACAGTCCAATTACGCTTCATTTCTTTTTACTTGACTTTTTCATAGGAACCCCTCACTTGCACTGACGCATGCTATGCAAGAGAAAAAACACAAATGCAGATTACAGAAGACTAGACAAGCTATGGCTGAACTGGCCCTTCTCCCACCGCACTGGGCCAGGACAGTTGCTCTACAGACAGAACAGGCTAGCCAACTACCCTGGGGCTGCCAACTGATGCAAGAGGACTCAAATACGATACTCCCACGCTTGGGTGGGCTGTCTGCTCTCTACTGTAGTCAGCAAGAAATACAGAAATTACCCCTATTGGTTTGTTTTGAACTTGATACAGTAATCACCCATCAAACGCAGGTATACAAATACACACGATTCCTCTAGAATGTTTTCAAGCCATTTTCTTAAAAATTAAGAATAGCATTTTAAATAATTCATGTCAAACCTTCCTAGAAGTAATGAATTACATCAATATAGAAGTATTAGATGTTACAGTTCATGAAAAAAAAAATGGTCTTGCTGCATTAACAGATTGATTAATTCGGAAATTTAAGCACACAATCCTGTGTAATATTCCCCATATAATATGCTTTTCAAATACCACAAGGTAAATGACGTCCTATTTTCCTTCAACTTTCTTTATTCTGAAATACACTACGTCCATCTTGAGCAATGGAAGATTGTATTTGTAAATGTTCCTGCGTTTTTCGAGGAATCACTGTATACCAGTGATACAAACATCAATTAAGACCATGCCTGGGAAAGTGACACTCAAAGAAACGGTATACAACATTTACCGGTGCTTGCCCACGATTTTTCCCAGGTAAGATCTTTTTGTAGGTCTATTACAGGTGATCAGTAGCATATGTGCTGAAAATGCAGTAATTTTTGCAAATTTAACATACAAACTTACAAAAATTGCCTTACATCTGAATAAGAATGGTTAATATCAGAAGATTGCACAGTCATCATGATACAATCTGAACCTGGTATAAATGGTAAAGCAATGGGAATGACTAAGGATCGTGACTATAGTGATGGGATATTCACAAAAGGGAAAGCCAAGAATTTGTTTCAGCATCTACAAGTATTCACGTGATCCTCAGTAATTTCTAACAAAATTTTGAAACTTTCGGTCAAATTCATAAAAGAAAAGATTATTTTTTTGTCTTTTTCGCATGTGCACAAAAATACAAAATATTGACCCTAAGACATCCATGAAAGTAACAAAGTACATTGAAAAGATAGTTCTTCTCAGGTATGAAGGGCTGCCCTTCTTTACAATTCACAAACAATATTGAATGGTCAAAGAATACTCTTAAATTTTAAAACCAATGAAATATGAATGTAAACAAATATCAGAGAGACAGCTGCTTCAAATCTTGTCTATTCCCCTCTTATGTTTTCAATCATCAGTTGTCCTTCACAATAAAGGAGTCTGCTCTCAGCTGGACTGAACAACAGACATGACAGCACAATAGCTCCTTCTGGGGTCAACTAAAGTAGCATATTTGTCATTCACATCGTCACACTATGATGAATGAGTAAACCAGTGTAACAGAAAAATTTGACTAGCCACTAAAAACACACTTACAAAATTGTTACACTGCAAACACACATATTTAAGACAAAGAGAAACTATGAAATAGCATATATACACAATTAAATGAATATTTGTTTATAAAGTGCCTTGTTTCAAATTCCACTTTTTTTTAAAAG